GTCACAAGGAAAAATGATTTTGGAATTAAGTGGAATATCGTCGGAATATTTTTCAAAGTAAACCGTACACCGCTGCTTTTGGCTTTCTCGACTGAACGTGCGTTCCTCGATAACCGAAGGGAAACAGAAAAAAAAGAAAAGAGAATATCCTTCTTTAATCAAGGAGCGTTCGTTTACTCCTTTCGATCACGCGGCAAATATTCAGTGAGTATAAGCCGATCTCTATAATCGTAAAAGGAAAACACGATGATTTCAGGCTACGATGATCAGTCTCTGTCAGTCTCAGCCAGGCCCCTTGTGCTCAACAAAGCAGGACTAATCGTGTGGGTTTTCTTTTTTGCTTGTTTACAGCCGTTCGATTCTCGTCTGGTAAAAAGTGAGAAAATACGCTTGGAAGATGATTCCGGATGCAGGCCTGGATGTCGCGATAGAGAGACTAAGGAGCGAGACGTCGTGTGAAGTCACCACAGACACGCGCGCACACAGTAAAGCTATTGTCGTTTTAGGTGACACTACGTGACACGTATGCCACACGACAAGAGAACGAAGCAACGTGAATGAAAAATGCAGGCCACAGTACGTGATTTTCTATCTTGATAGAGCCGAGGAGGGACCCATCTCGCGCCATGGAAACGTCCAGATGAATGTTGACAATGAGAAAAGTGGCGAATCGAAGGAGTGTGTTGTGAACGAAGGAGGGCGAAGGGGTCTTTCGCAAGAGTAATTCGCTCGAACGTGACAAGTGAGATTACGTTGTTAAAAGCGTGGCCGAGTTGGCGAGGATACGCGTCGCGATTCGCGAAGATTACGCGTCTAATCTTAGCGTTTGATAAATAGAGCAGATTTTGCTAGATCTGAAAAATTCCAATTCGAGATTTAGATTAAACGTAAGACACTGGAGAATTTTAGGGATTCGGAATTTCTTCGAAACTCGAGAAGCTCGAGAAAGTTTGTAAAGAAGAAAAATGGCAAATTTGTGGATTCCAACGTAGACGAAATGAAGCTAAGAAAGGAGACTTACCTATGAAAGTTTGATACTTGAGAACATGAATTACACACGACAGTATCTTCGCCAACACGCGCCACCGATTCGCTATCATATTCACGTTTGCAGCTGCGCTGGCCTAGTGTCCACTAGTGTATTCGTCTATCCGCTTGACAAGTGAACCACGCTGCATCCTTTGATAACGTAATCTTACGTGGCTTTCGTAGCAGCCTGTACTCCCCTTTGCCTTGTTCATTATCGATACTGGAAGGTGACAGTGTCGGAAGTGTATACGTGTCTCCTCGGGATCGAGAAAAGGGCATTTCTCGCGAATGTAAAATGCCTCGAATCTTCTTTTTCACAATCTCGCCGAACAGTGACCGCGAAGAGGAGAGAGAGAGATGAAATGAGATTTTCAGGAACCACGAAGAGACGCTATGTTTCATTTAGATTTCGCCCTCGTCGACGTCGTTTGCAAAGGGAGGATCACACGTCTGAAGACGACTCTTAGAGTTAGAGAGAGGGAGAGCTTGATAGAACAGCGGTGGCTGAAAAAGTGGCTGTCGATCAACGTTCTTCTTTCTTGCTTTTAGTGCTTATCACGGCCATTTGACCTCGATGATCGATATATCGCCGTACAAGTTCAACAAGCCGAACGGGCCTGGAAAGAAAAGCTGGGTTCACGTGGTAAGAAATTTCAAATTTAGCAATACTTTTTTCTACGAAAGATAAAGTGCAACCTACTTACGTACACAATGTCGAAATGGCGAATTTTTGGTTGACAGCGAAGCTTTGGAGCCACTAGGAAGATTTTATTAAACGAATTTCTCTGCTTCGTCTGCTTCCAGGCACCTTGTCCCGACGTTTATCGAGGGTTGTACCGTGAAATTGACCACCCTGGCGAGGATCTCGGCGTGAAGTATGCCAACGATGTGAAGAACATCTGCCAGAACCTGAAGAACCAAGGCAAAGGTGTTTGCGCTTACATAGCGGAGAGTTTGATGTCTGTCGGTGGACAAATTCTACCGCCTCACAATTACTTCCGGAATGCGTACAGGTACATATCCATCTCTTTCGTCATTCTGAATTCACAAGTATGCGATATGTAAAATAATCGAATTTTCTCGAATTATTTTAAGTGATGTATAGATAATTACGAGATAATTGTGAAATAAAACGGCGAAGATCTGTTAATCTGGATAAATTACAGACACGTCAGAGAAGCCGGTGGTGTTTGCATCGCGGACGAGGTTCAGGTTGGCTTTGGAAGGGTTGGCAGCCATATGTGGGCCTTCCAAATGTTCGGCGAAGACGTGATTCCGGATATTGTGACCGTAGGGAAGCCTATGGGCAATGGACACCCCGTGGCGGCGGTTATTACGACCCCCGCCATTGCTGGCAGCTTCAAGGACACTGGAATAGAGTACTTCAACACGGTGAGACACTCAAAATTTTACAAATTAGGAAAAAAAGAGAAAAGTGTCGTCAATTTTTCACAATCATAGTATCGGTTGTCGTCTTCTATCTTTAATTATTTTCAATTCGATGGTCCATTCAGAGTCCTTTGAAAATATTCCTTTAGTCCTTTAAAGTATTAAAAATACCTTGAAAAGACTGAAAAAGGAACAACCACAACAGAGATACCTGGAAGATCCCTCCATGATCTACACAATCGCGAATCCTCTTGCAAACCCAATTTCTTTCTACCTAAATTTCAACCCAAAGTAATAGCTAATTTAAGAAAAAGAAAGGCCCTCGCTTATGTCCGAATTTTCTCTTGTGGAAACGCAGTACGGCGGGAATCCGGTGTCTTGCGCGATCGCGAACGCCGTGATGGAGGTGATCGAGCGGGAAAATCTTCAAGAGAACGCGTTGAACGTCGGCAAACATCTGATGACGGAACTGAGGAAGCTGGCGAAGCGGCGAAAGATCATCGGTGACGTTCGCGGTGTTGGATTGTTCGCTGGTATCGAGTTGGTGCGCGATAAGGTCAAGAGGATACCAGCGACAGCCGAAGCGAAGCACGTGGTCTCGAGGATGAAGGACAAGAAGATTCTCATAAGCAGCGACGGTCCAGACGACAATATCCTGAAACTGAAGCCACCTATGGTGTTCACCATTGAAAATGTCAATCATGTGGTGTCCACTTTGGACGAGGTCCTCGAAGAGGTGGACATTGACGTCGAGGAGGTGATTATTTATTTATTTATCGTCATTAAATAACGCAAACGTCGCTGAAAATACCGATAATTAGAAACGAAAAGAGAAGAAAAAGAAATACTATTATTTATATGATTTTACAAGAACATTGGCGTCGAAGAGGTGATAATTTATTTATTTATCCTCGTAAAATAACGCAGAGATCGCTGAAAATGTCAATAGTTGCAGACAAAAATTTCAAAAAATATTTATGCAATTTTATAAGTACAGTTCACTATTTAGAAGAGTAATTTGCATTCGAAGTGAAGTGAAATTTAAAGTTGGTAGATTAGAAGCTTCTCTTGTTGCGCAACGGTTAACGATAAGGCGAATCGACGCGATAATAACGCAACGCATCGGGAAAGTATGACAGTAACCGGCGAAGATCGAAGTGTCGTAACTTCGCGCGAAGTGCAGTCTGTTTCTCTGGATGAAACGCGAAATTCTGACTTCGCGAAAAGGTCGCGATAAGGGGAAGAGGTAACGCGCGTGCATCAGTTTTATCAGCAGCTGTGCACGTGCCTGGTTTAATCGTCACTCTTTCGAATCATCGCGAACGTTCCGAATTATTTCCTCAATTACACCGTTACGAGGACTCTTCTTTTTGTCTGAAGAAAATTTTCATCGTTCCGAGCATAGTATTGTATTACGCTTCATTATTACTATTTTTTAAATTGAAAATAACGTCCAGTTTGCTACGATGTTCGAAATTCTTAGTCGACGATATTCATTTTATTTGAATTGTTCTAAACGTTTGCGGCTCTCCGGTATCTGACGACCATCGAGGAAACAATCTCCGGTCACAGGTGGCCAACCTGTTAACAGAAATAACACAGACACGTGTTTTTCTTTGATTTCAAAAAGTCTACGTGAAAATTTCAAGTTCTTTGCATCGATACGAATAGTCGAGAGTGGAATTTGTCTGGTTTCAGAAGTACGAAGACACCAGGACGATTCTGAAGGCGACGATCTCTCAAATGGACGTCGAGACCGGAAACAACACGTGTCCCAGCGGGAAGCCGTTGCTCGTACGCGCTAATTAACGATTAATTTAATCTGCAAACCTGCATATATACATATTTATGAAACGCGACAATTGTATGCGATATGTTTAAAGTATTACCGTTCGTGAGATGTATGATTATTGTTAAGAATGAAGAACAGTGCTTGTATGTATAGTATATATAATAAAAGAAAAAGAAGAGAGAGAGAGAGAGATGTGATTAAAATTAAAAGATCGAATTAAGGTTAAATAATTAGTTCAATACGAAACAAATACATCGATATTGTATTAATACTTGTTTTAATAAATACTATTTTTACGTACGACACGCAGTTCCGTCGATTAATTTTCCATTCTCTGGAAATCATTTAACGAGGACTCCGATGAACAACAAGCAACGATTGTTTGTTCACGTTAATTCGAAGGTTTTCACGATAACCTACGATCTTTCTATTATTCGTTTCAACCGAGAATCCCCCATTGTATGTAGAACGAAGATTCGAGATTAACGTCGTTTTCTAGAAATAGCGGCACAGGCGATACGATAAGGTACGCTACGGCTTAGACTTTGTCGAATATTATTTATAAATATTGGAGAACCTCCTGACCCCACGTGTTGTCGTGTGTGCATTTTTGAACGGATTCTAGCGAATTCCAATAGCGAGTAGAGAGAGATAGGGGACCAAAGGGGAGAAAAAGTTCGTAGATATCGTGTCTTGGTTGTTGAAGTTCAAGGAAGCTCTCCCCATCGATCAACTTTGTTGCTGACTTTGCTAAACGGGGTGTATAAATGTTGCAAAACTGCCGCGACGCACCGTCACTGCTGCTTTGCTACGGCGTTCAACATGTGGCTACCTCTATCGCTCATAGTACTTGGTAAGTGGAAGTGGAAAGTTGTGGTCAGACAAACCGCCCACATCTCGCATCGATCTTCTTCGCTTCTCGATCATTCCCACTGCGAAACTGTGAATAATTCAACCGAATTTCTACCTCCCCCGTCCCCACCTCTACAATTTTTCACTCTAGAGTATCTTTTGAAATATCGAAAGAAGCCTCGGTCAAAAATTTCTCAATTCTCATTTCTCTCGACTCGAAAAACGACCAAAAACCGTCTACAATCGCATCACCCCTCGAACTGAAGGAACTTCGTCGGTACACCTGAACCACGTCGAACTAATCTCCACGAAATCTTGGCGTTTCCACAGCGGGAATAGCGTCAGCCGATTACAATCATGGCTGGAAGGTTGGCAACGAGTACACCTACCTTGTACGAAGTCGCACGCTGACGAGCTTGGAGTTATCCGACCAGTACACCGGTATCCTGATCAAGGCTCTGCTAACGGTGCACGCAAAGGACCAGCGAACGTTGACAGCTAAACTGTCCAAGTGTCAATATGCTCGTGTTCACAATTCTCTGCCGGAAGGCTGGGAATCTCACATCTCCGATCAGATGTTGGATCTCCAGGATCTGCCTCTGTCCGGCAGGCCGTTCGAGATCAGGCTGAAACACGGCGTGATCAAGGAAGTGCTCGTCGAACGCGACATACCCACCTGGGAGGTGAACATGCTCAAGAGTGTAATTAGCCAGCTGCAGGTGGATAGTCAGGGTGAGAACGTGGTGAAGAGCAAGGATGTCCAAGTACCCAACGACCAGGAGCCTTACGGATCGTTCAGAGTCATGGAGGACTCCGTGGGTGGTAAATGTGAGGTTCTCTACGACGTCACACCTTTGACTGATCGCGAGCTTCACATGAAGCCAGAACTGGTACCTGTGCCACAGTTGAAGGGCGACGGACAGCACATTGACATCATGAAAACGAAGAACTTCAAGAAGTGCGATCAAAGGATGAATTATCACTTCGGCATCTCTGGCAGTAACAATTGGGAGCCTGGATCCAACGACAATGGAAAGTTCCTTTCGGTGAGTGTAGCTTTTTTCAGATTGCTGGGAATATTTGGGATCGTTTGGTATCGTCGTTTGATTCGTTGAGAAAAATGACTCTTCTTGGTTACAGAAATCGTCGACGAGTAGAGTCATCATCTCTGGCGATCTGAAGACTTTCACCATTCAATCTTCGGTGACTACCAGCAAGATGTTCATCAGCCCGCGATTATACGATTATCAGAACGGAGTGGTTGTGAGCAGGATGAACCTGACTCTCGGAGACGTGAAGAAGATCAAAAAGCCTTTGTCCTCGTCGAGCAATCTAGAATCTATCGGTAACCTGGTCTACGTCTACGACAATCCTTTCTCAGACGTGGACGAGCGTAGAATCAACAAAGTCTCGCTGAATTCGAAGCAAACACTGACCTCGGACAGCCTCAGCTCGATCAGCTCGAGCGAGGAAGTGAAGAACAAGGAAGTGAAGAACGAGCAGAACCTTCGAAGCGTCTCTTCCGCTTCCGCCAGCTCGTCCAGCAGCTCTATCTCTAGCAGCGAGGAGAACACGTTCTGGCAACCGAAACCAACGTTGGAGGATGCTCCGCAGAATCCTCTGCTGCCTAATTTCATCGGCTACCAGGGCAAATTCATCGGCAAGTCTGGCGAGGTTGACGTGACAAAGGCGATCAAGGAGCTTGTCTTCCAGATAGCCAACGAATTGGAAGATCCGAGCAACATGCCCAACGAGGATACCCTCGACAAATTCACGGTCGTTTGCAGCCTGATCCGCACCATGAGCAGGAGACAGATCAGCCAGATGCTGAATACCATGCACTTCTCTCCCAACGAGCTGAAATCGAGCGACAAGTCGCAGGCTATCGTGCAGAACGCTTGGGCTGTGTTCAGAGACGCGATCGCTCAAGCTGGAACCGGACCAGCCTTGTTGATCATCAAGAACTGGATCGAGAAGAAAGAGATTTCAGTCTCCGAAGCCGAAGACATCCTGTACAGGCTGCCGAAGACTGCTCGTACACCGACTGCCGAATACGTCAAAGTTCTTTTCGTGAGTATTCTCGTTTAAGTAGCTTCTAGGAAAATAAGATTCTCCGAGAATGAAGGATTCTCTGTCTCTCAGGAACTGGCCACCAATCCAACGGTGAAAGAAGACATAGATCTGAGCACCGCAGCTTTGATATCGTTCGCCGATCTGGTTCGCCTATCGCAAGTGAACACCAAGAGCCTTCACAATCGTTACCCGGTGCACACGTTCGGTCGTCTCACGTCCAAACACGATCAAACCCTCGTGGACGAGTACATCCCTCACTTGGAACGCGAGCTGAAGAAGGTCGTGAAGGAACGCGACAGCCGTAGGATTCAGATGTACGTCATAGCTCTGGGCAAAATTGGCCACCCCAAGATTGTCTCCGTGTTGGAACCTTACATCGAGGGGAAGGAACCCGTGACAGTGTTCCAGAGAACGTTGATGGTCGCTGCTTTAGGCAGCCTGGCCGAGAATTCGCCGAAACTGGCTCGCTCAATTCTGTACAAGATCTACCTGAACACAGCCGAGAGCCACGAGGTGCGTTGCACAGCTGTCTTCCTACTGATGAAGACCAACCCTCCGTTGAACATGCTGCAACGCATGGCGCAGTTCACCAACATAGACACGAACATGCACGTAAACTCGGCGGTGAAATCGACTATCAACAGCCTCGCTAAACTGATCGACCCTCAATATCAAGAACTGGCGCAGAAAGCACGCGCAGCTTCCGGTCTATTGACCACTCGCGACTACAGCTCACAATTCTCTCACAGCTACATGACTGAAAATATCAACAAGGACAAGAATATAATCTCTCATCTGATTTTCAATTATATCGGTAGCGACGACAGCTTTATCCCTCGTACCATGTACCTTGGCTGGTTCTCCATTTACGGAGACTTCAAAATACCACCCACTGTATTAATGGCGATGATCTCGAGCGTGGTACCACTTAGGCTGTCGAACTTCCTCACCACGGGCGACATGGAGTCTTCCGTCAAACTGGCAGCTGAGAGGATCGCCGAAGAGCTGAATCTAATCGCTGACGAGCCTATCCCGTTTGAAGGAAACGTGCAAATGAACACGAAGTTCAGGTCGGGGTTCATTACCTTCGATAGAGAAACTATACGCAGGCTACCGTCGTGTAAGTGTCTAGAAATACAATTTCAAACGAAAATGAAAGAGAATTCTTTCGTTTAACCGAATGATAGTACATTCCTAGGCTAATGGTATAATAACGCGTTATTTTCGATAATGTTTCAGTGGTGACGCAATACATAATGTCGTCGAAAGGCGAAAAATACATGAACATGAACAAACTACAATCGTACGACGTGACACTCGGTTTCCCTACCGAGACCGGTCTACCGTTCGTCTACACCTTCAGAGTGCCTATTCTATACAAGATCAGCGGAACTGGAAAGCTCCAGTTGAAAGCTGGCGAGCAGCTCACCGGTCAATCGAACATGCGTCTGACCTACGCGAAGAAGATCCAAGGAAGAGTTGGATTCGTCGCTCCGTTTGAGCACCAGCACTTCATCGCCGGCGTCGATGTGAATTTCCAGGCGTTCGCCCCGGTCAAGATAGATCTGGACGTGAATATACCTAAACGCAGCGTGCAACTGAAGGTCTGGCCGTTGAAAGGGGACGAGAAGGCCCGATTGATCCACTACAGCGTGATCCCGTACACCTCGAATCACGACATCTTGAGCCTGCGTCCTCTGATAAAGGAGAAGAAGAATACGCACAAAGTGCTCACCGACGACGTCGTTAAGAATAGTTATCTGAAAAATGATAATATCATGAAACTGGACCTGGAAGCTGACACATCGGACGAAAATCTATGGACAACGAACTCCGAGACTGTAATCGAGAAGATGTGGAACCTGTGGAAAATGGACGACGATAAATACTGCAAGATGGACCTGTCTCTGAACTTGAGAGACGAACAGAAGGATCCGGTGGTGTTCACCGTGGCCTACGACACAATGGACATGGTGTCTGACGCTGTAATACCCGAAGAATGGACACCTATGGCTAAAGCCGTGGAACCGTCTACGAAGGCAGCGAACAGCAAGGATCGTAGGGATCAATACTTGAAGGAAGCTGCCAAAGGAGTGAAATCCGCGCAGTCGTACGTCGTTGACGTGCAATTGGCCACACCAGGTGAATGGAGAACAAACAACGTCTTCACCTTCGCCAGGTCTACAAGCAACATGGAGAGCAAGGCACGAACCTTGATCTACTGGCATTCCGACATTCCCGCGATTAGCTTCAAAAATGATCTCTGCACTGCTATTCAACGTAAAACTACCCCAGACTCCGTGTTCCCCTACCACCAGGCTATGCAAACGAAACCCAAAGCTGAATTCGACGTGGACTTACGCTACGGAGAGAGTTGCGCCAACGGCAAGCAATTGAACGTCATGGGCAAGGCTGTTCAGAGCGATCAGCTGAGACAAAAGATCAAAGATTCTCTTTTGATGAAAGAGTGCGAAAAGCAGATGGAACAGGACAACAAGATCCTGAAAGCTTGTCAGACCGCCGCGGCGTTTTCTATGATACTGGACAAGATCGACATTTCCATCAAGAACATCCCAGAGGAACTGCAGAATCTAGGCAACTTGATCCTTGGTCAGATCGGAAGCTCGGAAATCCTGGACGTGGATGTGGACCTGACGAAACCACAGAACGCCGGCAAGAAGAATATCGACATCAAGGCGAAACTCTCCGACAACTTTGAAACCGCTACGATGACAATTCACACACCAATCATGGACATTCGTTCGAACGATATCGAGCTGTCCGATTTTGGAATTGACGCGGCGGACTTGCTGGTGGCTGGTGACAAGAGCACGGCCATGACCAACTTGATCTACGACGAGTACAAACGTGAGTATATCGGAGAACGTTTAGACTGACTCGGGTGTGACATACCTCACGAGTAATTTTCTTCGTTAGCTGTCTGTATCGTGGACGTAACCAGGGGTGAAACCTTCGACGGCAAAGAGTACCCACTGAGATTAGGTAACTGCTGGCACGTGGTGATGACCACGTACCCGAAGGTGAATCCAGAGAATCGCGAGATGAAGCTTCGTGTGTCTGAAGAGGACAGCGTGAGCATTCTGAGCAGAGAGATGGAAGACGGGCACAAGGAAGTGAAGATCATGCTTGGAAAGGACGAGATACTGTTGCAGCCTAGAGGCAATATGATTCAGGTTCTCCTGAACGGTCAGAGCCAAGAGGTGAACAAGGACAGGAGTTATCAGAAGAGACGCGACAAAGATGTGATCTTCGAGATCTTCAAGCTTGGTGATCAGGCCGTGGGTCTGGTTTCCGACCAGTTCGAAGTGGACATCGCTTTCGATGGAAAGCGCATCATGATCAAGGTAATTGTCAGTACACACGCTATTACAGACTGTGCCGAAAAACTCGCGAGCAACGGTGAAAATGATTACTTCTATCGTAATTCTACCTTTAATTAACAAGAAACTTGAATACGTCCGTAGGCATTCGACAAATTCCGTAACTCGATCCGTGGTCTCTGCGGTAACTTCGACGGCGACATGACCAACGACTTCACCAGCCCTAAGAACTGCATGCTGAGGAAGCCTCAGCAATTCGTCGCCAGCTACGCTTTGACCAAGGACCAGTGCGAGGACGAAATTCTACAGATTGTGAAATCGATCGACCGCAACGAATGCGTGCGAGCATTAACGAAACGTCCGAGCAACGTGATCAACGAAGTGGAATCTGGACGAGCGATCACCGAATGGGACAACTGGGGCTACAGCAAGGGGCAAAAGAAGGGCGATCAGCGTTGCAGCGCGTACAAGACCAAGGTACTCGAGAGTGACGAAAATATCTGCTTCTCTACACGTCCGGTGTACTCTTGCTCGAACGGATGCTCCGCCACCGAGATGAAGTCGAAGAATTACCAGTTCCACTGTATGAAGAGGGGCGACACGGCTCTGAATCTGAAACGTAGAATCGAGAAAGGCGCGAACCCTGACCTCACGCAGAAGACCGTCTCCATGTCTCATCCCATCAATGTTCCTCTCGCTTGCAAGGCCTAACTCGCGTTTAACTGACTTTCGTGCACATAGTATATATAGTGTAGTATCTTTATCAGCAGTTGTAGTAGTATTGTATTTAGCGTACGATGTAAAGTTTGAATAAAGTTGTAACTTTTCGGTAATTCTACCGTTTCCGTGATACTCACGTTCTCGATTGTCCGGAGGTTTCATTTCGAACATCGAGGATTATGGATAGGACAGTTGAAACGAAGCTCGTCCAGGTGACAATCCATTTTCTCGATCTGCTCGTAGAGATCGTTCGCCGTTGAACAGGAAGCAAATTCTTTTCTCAAGTCGCGTAGATCTTCTCTCGTTTCGACGTTGGTCTTTGCAACTTTCTCGCACGCCGCTTGATTCGTCCGGTTTAATTTCCGCACGTTTCTCTCGTGTTTCTCGTACGGCTCGCCTGGAATCGCGTCGAATTGGTACGCGGTGGTTGAAATTGGCCGAGAGAAACGAGACACGAAGTGTGTTGGTACTGTACTTCTGAATATTGGCACGACTCCCGTTTCCACGTTCCTCTCGATCTCCCGAATCGCTTTCTCGCACCTCTCGTAGTACGTTCCCCGCAGGAGCAACGTTGGTTTCCTGTCAATTTGACAATCCCGACACTTCTTCCCCGGCGAAATCCGCTTTCTACGCACGTAACGCCTGTACTCGAAGCATTTCAGCATCTCCTCGATCAGGGTGAAGCGGGTATTGTCGATTCTGGTTATCACACCTGGCCGTTGCTTCGTTCTCAGCAAATGATGAAGCTGAACAAATGGAAACTTCGTTCCTACGTGTTGCAACCGAGAGATCGTCACCTTTCTTTTTTTCTCCTTTTATCTCGCTGTTCGACGTTACTTTGAAGAGAATGAAGAGTATCCATTGCATCGAGTCGCGTTCCATCGCTGCTTGGATGCGCTCTATCTCCTCTCGTTGGAATCTAACGAGGGAAAATTTCGATGAACACAGAAAGAAATGCATCGGAAAGAAGGTATGTAGCTTCATTTAGGAGTTTTGCGAATAACTCGGGAAAAAATCACTAATTAGGTGAATTTTACTAGCTAAAAATCACTCAGGGTGTCTCAGAATTAGTGAAAGAGGCTACGTGGAAGATACCAAAATGCAGTTTCGTTAGAAATCACATTCTTCTTCTCTCGTATCTCGTGATTCGTTATTATAAGACAGAATTTTTAAATTTAATTTTCTCAAAAACTGAGCCCCTATGAGAAAATTTTGTAGTGTAGGGGATTTATGTGAGGAGGGATAGTAAACTCGAACGGAACTTTGTTCTATACAATATTTATTAATAGTTCATATCGCTACGCTAAGGATGTCGCTCAATCAATCGCTGGATTCATACTGCCTTTCGCTCCCTCGCATTCGCCCTAATGTCATCTTGCATACATGCACACACGCACTCACGCACTCCTCGCCTGATTACTAAAACTAAACATTCGTTCAATATCTTTCGCGCTATCCCAAACACTCGACCTGTCACCTCCGGTCATAGACCCTCACGCATTCACACAGACAACGCATTCATACAAACAACGCACTCACGCTCGGTCATCCCTACAGTAGTATCAGGGCCTCCATACCCAAATAGGAAACCTCGAAGGGACAATAGAAGGGGAGGAGTTGGCGTAGTGCGCAAAGCCTCGGCTTGCTAATCCGAGAATTCCGGGTTCCCGTTTGGGTCCCTTGAAACTTTTCCCTAGGTTCCTACAAATTTACTCTAGATTTTCGACTTAATTTTGTTAGATTGTACACGTATCCCGAAACACCTTGTATATCATATATGTACATATATATTCGTGGATATGGAAATGAAAAATGTGTGTGTTGAAAAGAGGTTGAAATACGATTTTGTGGACAAACCTCTTCATATTGTCCACGGCTTCTGCGTTCTTCTTGTACACATGCTCCAACCATCGTCTCATCTTCTGTATATCGAGGACAGTCTTCCTGATCCAGTATCCCCGCCAGAATGCCTGGATCCTCGTGGCCATCTCGTCGTAATAATCCCGCCACATTTGATGGACACATTGAACCAGGTATCGATCGACGAAGATCCGGATGAGATAACCGCGCCAATGGCGTTGAATAGTGACCGCGCTCTCGTGCAACAGCCGGAAATGGTTTCGAGTGAGGATGCCGCGCATCCAGGCCTACAGTGGCGAACCGAAATGCAATTGAAACACCCGTGCCGCCAGAAGAACGGCGTTGCAATTGAATTTCAATGGAAATCGAACGCACAATGTGTATACTCGAGGCGAGAAAGAATTCGAAGAGACAAAAAAAAGAGAGATCGACCCTGGGGAAATTTTCACAAGTTCATATCGAAGATAATAACGTTGTCTCTCATCGAGTGTGGATTTATTGCGAACGTGATTATTTTCAATTTTTTAACAATTGTGACAGAAATTTCACGAATCTTGAGGAAGTCGAAAATGCCATTGGAATAGAGAAGAAGGAATGATCGAAAAAGTAAATAAAAATTATAGTAAGGTTTCGAAGGATTTCTTAAGATCGTGAAACGAGACGCAGTTTAAGGCACGTGTCTCGTATCGCACCTCGAATTCACCGAAAAGCGAAAACAACGGGGACTCGTTGGATCGATGAGTCGCGATCTTGACCTTAAATAATCGATATCTCGCGAAAGCGAGCCCCGTTACGACACCGGACGCTTTATTATTAGCGAGGCTCGCGTTGCTCTCGGATAACACCGATAACTCGCGCAGAAGTGGCTGGTTATCGCGCGCGAGGTTATCTTTTCACGCGTCCGTTGAAATATCGGCCAGAGAAACCGGCCACGAATTTTCTCCAGGGAACCATTAACCTGTATTCTACGCGCTGCGATAAAGTAAAAAGGTCTGGTAGATTCAGCTAGATCATCTCTCAGCTTGATTTCCTCCTCGAGATCAACGTGATCTGGTGTAAGCTTCTGGACAGACGCCATTTTGGAAGACCTACTTTTCGGTCCGCGAATTATCGCGATTAATTCAAATTGCTCCTCTAATTACTGGAAGTTCGTCGCCACGTGTGAACGTAGTTAAGAACGTTCGGACAATAAGAATTAACGTTCAGTGCGTAGATGTATACAGTGTGACTAATTATTTCGGAGAAATTTTGTTATTCGTGGATAGATAAGAAGAAACGGTTGGTAAACGAGAGAAAGTGAGAAATGGTCGTGACAGCCAATAAATAATTTATTCTTTCGTACATTTCCACGATTCTCTGCGGGATCGAGTAGTATGAAAGATCAGACGATCCCTATGTAGAGTAGAACGACGAGGAGAGACGTGGAGAGGAACATCAAAGAGGCTGCGATTGTCGCCACCAACGCGTTCTTTTTCTTCTTGCTCGTTCTTGTCACCACGCGGAAATCCTTACGAGACTGTATGCAGAGAGAGAGGCAGAGAAATATGCGTGATAAATTGCTCGTCGTATGAATTATTAGTGTTTAACGAAGTTGTCTATATTGGGTAAATTGTATAGGAATATGTTTGAAATGAAACGATTGTGTGTGTGTGTGTGTGTGTGTGTGTGGAAAAGAGACGGAAGTTATCAAAGAGAGTTTTAATTATAAAATACGACGAACAAAGTGAAAGCGTAACGTGTGTATGTATGTTGCACGCGTTCCCGCGCCGTTAATCGGTGCTCGATACTGGCGCAATTAACGGTATCGTTTCAGCGCGTATAAATAAAAGAGCGTAATCTCGACACGCACCACCCTCGGGGAAATAAATGATTGGAACGCTCTGGGGTCGTACTCGCGGACACCACGAGCTCCTATTGATCGCCGACAGTTTCAATGAATATTCTTTACGCTCTCGCGATCTAATTATGGCTGTTTGATGAGAGCGCGCGAGCGCGGAATATGGGTTACTAAATGATACTCGATAAAAGATAGGAGGAATGGTAGTTGAAGTCTTGGAGTGAAATTCAATAAGGATTTACCATGATTTGCAAACTCTGAGTCTTTCGAACGAGATCGTCCAACCTTTGGCCCCTGTCGATCAACTTTTGAACACCGTCCATCAGGACCTTTCGAACTTCTGCCAGTTCTCCCTCTAATATTGGGATGACATTGCTCTCCTCTTGATTGTACTCGTCCTGAAATCGATAATCCAACGGTGATAGTTTTGTAATTGTGATTGTACTCTTTTGCTTGGAGGAGTTTGGAATTTGGGAATTGGGGATATTGGGAATTGGGGAAATTGGGAATTGGGAAAATTGGAAAAATTGGGAATTGGAAAATTTGAGAGTCCGGGAAAGTGAAAATTCTAAGCTTTGAAAATGATGGTGTTTGGGAATTCGGCGAAGTGAGGATTTGAAGCTTTGAAAATTCTTAAACTTGGGAATCCGGGAAAGTGAGAATTCTAAGCTTTGAAGATTGTAAAATTTGGGAATCTGGGAAAGTGAGAATTCTAAGCTTTGAACATTCTAAAATTTGGCAATCTGGCAAATTGAAAATTCTAAAATTTGAGAATTCTAAGCCTTAAAAGTTCTAAAATTTGGGCTTCCAGGAACTCTAAGCTTTGAAAATTCTAAAATTTGGAAATCCGGAAGAACGAAAATTTAGAAAAGTGAGAATTCTATATGAAAGTTTCAATAATTCAGCCTTTGACATTCCCGTTAATAATCGAAACGACAGGTTCTAAGATCGAACGGTCCAACGTACGACTATCTTTGCCAACGGTTTCGTGAGGTCGATGACCGCCAGGTTGGTCAGGTCCCTCGAGAGGTCTGCCAGGATGGGTAGTTCTCTGTAAACGCTTCGCAACCTCTCCAGAAATACCTGGGAATAGGATTCCAGCTTGGCTGCTGACGAAGGACTATCCGGCTTCGATGTCAAACAGGCGTAGTGCAGTTCACCAATCAGCACGTGCACCGTGTATCTGCAGGAGAATGGTATTTCCAAGGAGCGTTCTCCAGAAACTGCCATTTTTTCGAAGGATGGACAATTGAACTGATTATCAATGAAAATGTTAATTGTAGTAGTAAATTCTTGCTCTTCAAGATTCCTCTATTTCTACTATCACATATTTCCAACATTTCAACTGGATACTCTGCTTTTCTATTCGCGTAAATTAGCTCGCAAGTAAAATGATTGAAAATAATCGAAATAATTCTTAAGTATACATAATCGAGAAGAAATCAATGAAACTGAATTACAGGAGTGAGATTAGCCCGCTTACTTGCCCCGATCGAGGCTGATTTTGTCATTCTCCACCGACTTCAACCCATCAACCGTGCTCAACGCGATCGCCCTGCACGCTGGATCCTCCATCGCTGGATAATCCGCCACGATCTTGCATCCGGACTTCTCCCAGAATGCAACCAGCGCATAGTGCACCGTTTTACTCATCCTTCACACCGGACACGTTCGCTGCTTCCATTGAACAGAGTGACACAAGTGAAAATCCAACAATCTTAACAATACTTTCCACAACTCTTCCACCAAATATTTCGTACAAATACAGATAAAGTACTTTGCATACGAAACAGGCCTCGAACGTCATGGAATCATTTTAATTACTCAGCAGTGATACCGCTAATTTTAATCAACACAAATACGACACTTTGCGTGCACGAACTTAATACTCGCTAAAGATAGTTACCAGAAAGAAC